ATGGGTATGGGATCGTAAGGGGTTGTTTTTCGGCTGTTGTTTGCCACAGGAAATACTTAGTACCCATGAGCAGAGACAAGGAATTTCGTTTCGGGGTCGACCTACCGGAATGATGTCCCGCATCGTCCTCCGCCGTGGCCGTTGTCTCATTCTCCGTGGCCACCGACAAATCCGCTCCAGTTGCGGATGCGGATGCCATATGTATGGTCAGATCCCTGATCTTGAAGCGTTCGCAGATCAATTCCTCGCAATGATCGGCCTGGAAATAGCAATTGAGCTCGTCCAAACTCAGGGGGCAGACGTCGTAGGGCTGGTAAAAGTGCTTGCCCCAGCTGCCGTTGTTACTGGAACTATCCCCAGCACAGCTGCTGGACAATGATCCCTGCTGCATGGCGCCCGCCGAATTAATGGATGCTAGTCCCGTCGTAGTACCACTTCCCGATCCTATGACGCCAGTCTGGTTCGGTTTTAGCAGGGAATTACTTCGGGCCACCTTGGTGGAGTGGGCTCGCCGTATGAAACTCAGGGATTTCTTGGGTGGCGAGCAGATCGCCGAGGTTGTCGGGGGCGTAACAGCTATATCCGTCGACAGTTTGGGCGTGGACTTGAGGAGAAAGAGGTTCTTGGGCGGAAAACTGTGCGTCAGTATGGACGTGGCCGAACAGCTGTTCTGTAGCTTATATGGCGAGGATCCCGAACCCGAACCCGATCCTATTTGACTGACCGTGCTGCCGCCAAACAGCTGACGCTGTTTCTCCTGCAGCTTTTCCTGCTTCTCCTGATACTTTTCCCGCTTCTTTTCCAGCTCATCCAAAGCGGCTGCCTCGCGTAAAACAACTGAGGGCGATAGGTTTTGCGGCAGGGTCTTCGATTTAGCACGGAGCGTAATCAGCGTCGTCGTCGTCGTAGTCGTTGTTGTAGTAGTGCCGCTTCCCACCGATGAGTTATTATTATTATTAGCGTTATTTGTGGCCAAACCACGCTCCACCGAGGGCAGCGGTACGGCCAATATATTGGTTCGCGATCGCGATTTCATTAGCTTTATGGGCGTCGAGGTGTTCGTTTGCATGCGACTGATCTCTGAATCATCATCGTAATCGTTGTTGGATTCCTGGTTTCCAGCCGATGACGTTGATAGCGCCTGCTGTTTGGGCGGCGGGGGCGTGGCCAAGACAATATCGTTCTCCTCATTGAAATGGCTACGGGGTGCCGTATTTGGTATTTGATTGTTGGCAGAAAGCAGACCACCGGGTGGTATGTTGGTACTACCCATTCCCATACCCATACTACCCAAGGAGGACTGTTCGTTATCGCTGCCATTCAAACTGATCACGTTTAGTACTATACCATATCGCTTCAGTTTCGATGGGGATGCGGTATTACCCGAGTTGGTTGGCAGGGACTTTAGCAGCTGCTCCCGATGACGCGCCTCCGAGGAGTTCTCCTCGTCCTCATCGGAATCGGAATACTGGGCCGTATTCTCGCTACCACTGATGCTCCAGTTGAAACCGCAGGGCGGTGACATTTTCGATGGGGTCTTTCGCTCGAATAGAGCACTAACCTTGGCCACGCCGCTCTTCACCGAGCTGGATTTGCGGAGACTGTAGCCTTTGGCCGATTTGGTTTCGGAATGGGTCAGGGAATTGCTGGTGCTACTGAGGCTGGTGTTGCTCGAGGACTTTTGGACCGGATCGGATTTGCGATCTTGATCTTGAGCCTCCTTCTTCTTCTTCGTCTCCTCCTCTTCGTCCTCTATCACCAGGGGTACATAGAATGTGGAGCGACGTCGTTGGGACTTCTCTTCCGGTGTCGCTACTATCGGTTGCTCACTGTTGTGTTCAGTGTGTTTTGGTGAATCTACTGTATTTGCGGCTGCCGTTGCTGTTGTTGTTGTTGCTGTTGTGCTGCTGACGGCCTGCAACATTTTTGGTTTTTTCGCTCAGTGTAGTTTAGAGAACATGGCACACACACACACACACACACACAATTGCATGAGAGAGAGCGCACGCAGGTATATTTTATGTTTGTGTTTGTGTTTGTTGACGCTGCTGCTGCTTCTTTCTCCTTTCCGCTGATGCTTCTTTTTCTTAATTCTTTAATTATATTTATTTCCTCTCTCCCGTTTTATTCTTTTCTTCGAGTGTGTGCGTTGTCGCTTGGCTTATAAAAATTATGCGCTCAACTGCATTTCCGCGTTTTTTCTCTTTCTTTGCTGTTACTTTATCGCCTTTTCGCATCACATTGTCGCTTGGTTAAGTTTTCTTACTTTTTTTGAACTACTCTTTTGTTTATTTTAATTTTGGTTTTCAGTTGCAGCATACACACACGCACACACACACATTTGCATTTTCAGCGCGGAGAGACTGCACTAATACACACGCATACGCATCTTTTTTTTTCGTGTGCAGGAATGCGTTTTTTTTGGGATAAGGGGACAAAACACTTGAACAAAAACAACACTCGCTTTGGGAATTATTTTAAAAAAAATCTATAAAATATGGAGCATAACAAACAGTAGTATTTTATACAGTAACAACAAAATAGTAAAACCGACGCGCCAGCGAAATTAAAAACAATAATAAATGGAGCGATTTGAGCCGCCTGCGCTCCGATTTAAGCCACCCGAATTCAAAAGTTGATCTGATCTAGAGATGCGAAAACACATGGAGCGTTGGGCGGCGATGTCTTCTAAGCGATGTTTATCGATGTTTTCGTAAATATCGATGTTTAACCGGTTTTCGTTTGAAATGTGGGGAAACATCGCTGCTGATCGAGAGTGCAAGATCTGGCAACGCCAGGAATAGAGCAGCAGGTGTTAAAATAGCTGCTGTTAGATTCAATTTGAAAAAATGGAGAACTACCTTCATAACTCCGTAAGCTTTTAGTTCCGAAAAATAAATAATTAATTATGATTTTTTAATGATTTATCTGTTTTTAAAATACACCATACCATATTTTGGTGCTATTATACTAAACAATTATGTTTTCCTACCTCAACTGTTACATTTACATATGTATGTATATGTAAGGTGCTAGTTGGGCAGCCGGGCAACCCATAATACAAATTAAGGGAACCCAGAACCCTGCCCCTCCAACATCCCACCCGTCGTAACGCTTGGTTCCCTCTTTACCTCTATTTTATTTTATTTTTTCACTGCGGAAGTGCGTGACTATGGGGTTTTATGTGACACGTTCGCCTCCTTCGCCTCAACGAAACGGAAGACTTGTTTACGAGCGGCTCGAAAGTTACCATTTTCATTTCCATTTCCACCGGCATTACATTAGCATAGGGGCACAATGAACTGTTTGAATGGAAGGGAGTTTTCTGTTGTATTTTTTCAACCCTTGACCAGGCGATCGTTATATAAGCCACGTCCTGCCCCTCGAAATTCCGTTACTTTCAGTAGAATGTGGAATTTCCCCTCCCAACATTAAATACTCCATTAAATGTGGAATTATGCAAATAAACATAATGCAAGCCAGAAAATGAAGCATACTTTTTGGACTTAGGAGAGTGCCTGTAATGTCAAGTAGACATCAGATAAGTTACATGTAGAATTGGGAATACTACAGAATATCATTTTTAAGCGCCTCGATTTATGCAGAGAAATATATTTTATCCAGAATGCATCGGAAAATTAAATGAAAATGATCTTGATTATTTACGGTTGCATGTTATTGAAAAAACAAGTTTTTATAATAAAAAGAATAAGACCAAAAGGAGAGAATTCACAAGTTGTCAAATCAATTACATCCAATTTATATCATGTAATTTATAAATATTAATAGAGCGTTTAAAGAACTGGAAATCAGTCTTGCAGTGGAGCACAGTGAAACGACTGTAAATTTTAGTACCAGGTACTTCATTTACTACATTAAAGTTGTGCTCCAAGTTGTATACTCTCTGTAAAATGTAATATAAAAACATTAATCCGGTTTCAAATTCCGAAGTCTGTTTATCGGCCTGTAAAAGTGGTTCTGTTTCCTATTATTTTTGTACACGTTTTATGATTATACTTATTGGAATTTGCTTATCTGCGGTTGCCAAAACTACCATGGTATTTAAAGCTTCCACAACACCCTTTATTTCCGAGCAGCCAAGAGTAAAATTTCGCCCTTGAAAGTGATTATGTCTGTGCATACAACACTTGCTGATAAGTTCAGAGCTTCAGAGCAGATCGCATTGCGCTGAGCCGGCAAAAATAGTCGCATTTGTGGGTTTCTAGGTCTCTAAGCGCCACATGCAAATCATGGAAATCATCGGGGAAACAATGTCACGACATTGAGATACGGACAATGCTTAGGATGAGTAACGTGCCACGTAACTACTGAAAGGGAATCAATCGAACAATCGGGGGACTGTGTGTTACCTTCGTTCGGCGATGTATCGTTTAGCGCCGTATCGAAATGTATGCGAGGCAGTGTCTTCGACTTGTACTCACCTGCAAGTGGAATAAAAGAGGGTAAAATGGATTAGTTGTGTTAAATGCAAATGTCAGACGGTGTAAGTCTAAAAATACTAGATGTTTTTGTGTTGGGTCTGACTTTGTTTTGCAAAACTCAACCCATTTACATGGCCTGACCTTTGAGCTCGTGTTGTGAATTCACTTCAATTAATGCAAAATATGAAAAGTACAGACGAGAGATACGGAAGATATGTACAATTGCTAGACATCGCAGATGGTGCCAATGTGGGGCAAGCTCGTAAATTGAGCAATTGTTGTAGGTGACCCAGGAGTCTGAGTCTCAGTCTCAGACTGGAGGCTTTGAAGAGACCCCCTTGGTTCCCAGCCCAAGCCATTATTATTATTATTATTGTTCCGTTGACACTTTTTTCTTTCCAACCAACCAACCAACACTGCATTATCTACTTTGCGCGGGTCATCAGTCGTAACTGTGCAACTGTAAATTATGCCGCCGCACAATTGACTTCAAAGCGGAATGACCGAACTGATGAACTGACGAACTGACGAACCACCAACGACCCAACCAATCCAATGATGATTGTGGATGATTGTGAATTCTCGGTGATGTCACATCCGTCATCCATCCGCTTGATACGAACTGCTTCTCTTGCGAGAAAATGCGATGAGAGATAAAAAAAACCCTGGACTCTTTTGGGGGTACGAATGTCGCAAAATCATTTCGATTTCAGATTAAAGTGGTGCAAAGTTTTCTTTGGTAAGTACCAGAAGAGAATAGTGTTAAATAGTTTATACGGTTTACAGATGATATAGTATAATATTTTAATAAAAAGCATTTAAAATTGCACAGAAAACACAACCAACTGATCTAAAGTAAAATTCAGAATAGGTTCTTATACATTTCAAAATGTTGTTATTGTAAAATTTTAAAGACATCCTATATTTCAAATATTTAAAAACCAAGTTGTAGTTCTATAAAGTTCCTAAGGGTTTTTCTCAGGATCAGAAACGATGCCATTGGTATTGTAATGCAATATTTGATATGACGTAGATATAATCGTTTCAAAGCCTGTTTCAATATAATCTGCAATGTGCCATAGTTAAAATCTTATATAATACTCACTCCTGCCCGTCGTCTCCAGAGTGGATGCACCCGATCCCGTCCCCGACATGGGCTCCTGGTCGCCCTTCATCAGCTGCAGTTGCTCCTGCTGCAGCAGCAGCTGATGTTGCTGTTGCGGCTGATGCTGCTGTTGCAGTTGCTGCTGCTGCTGCTGCAGTTGCTGGTGTTGCAGTAGTTGCAGCTGCTGCACGTCGCAGTGGACCTCGTGAATGGGCGGGGTGGGGGCGTCATCCCGCTCGCCCCTCAAACAGGAGGCCAATCCCCGGCTGCGGGGCATCGTGCTCCGCCGCAGGGCCGCCGTCTGGGGTTGCTGATCCCCGTTTGATCTCGATGGATTCGGGGTGGAATTCTGGGAACTCTGGGTGTTCTGCGGAGTGGTACGCGGCATGGAGTGCATTTTGCGCTGCTGCGGCGTCGCCGAATTCGCCGAATGCATTTGCACCTCGTCGCTAATTGCACGCAAAGCACCGCAGTTCATTCTGATTTGGTTAGCTGTGTTTTCTATTTGGTATTGGTATCCTTGCCAAAGTTGCCTTTGTAGGTTTTTGGTTTGTGTTGCCTTGGTAGTTTTGTTAATTTTTTTTTTGTTTTTATTAGTTCAGTTTTTCTTTAACCTTGACATGGTTTCCTATGCGAGATGGTAGAAGAATAAGTTTCACAACACTCGCGAAGGGTTCAAAATCGAATTCACTGGACTGGCTTGGTTAATTTCGCGGAATGGAACATGCTTTGCTTAACACCTCTTCAGAACTTATAATATAGTGTCGTATCTTTTAATATAGATGATGTATCATCTGATCTTGAGTGTATATAATATACATGGGATTGTGACGGTATAAAAAAATGTTTCCCTAAAAGTGTATTTAGAGAAAAAAGTTCTAATTCGTGGGATAGAATAGTGCATTAAAAATGTTCTTAGGCATAAAATAGCCATAAGATATGATCTTAGATATCCCTAGCTTCTTCGGTTACAAAGGGCTGTTTTCCTTTTTTCTGGGCCCGAACCATCTGACATCGACGGTTTGGCTTGGCTTCGCTTGCCTGCGTCTGGGCAATTAAGATTTATGGTCATGGCGTGTTGGCCTCTGAAAGCGCACCCCCTACCGATTTCCTCCCCTTACTGAACCCCCAAAAAATAATAATCTAAAGGCTCCTACGACTGCGACTTCTTTGTTTTTAGTTTTTTTAACCCGAAAATTGTTTAGCTAATTTTTCCAAGTGGTTTTTCGTTCTTTTGCACACGCGCGACTGCGCAACAACACACCCACAAACAAAGGAAAAACATATAAACAATATTGCACACATACGTTATTATTTTGGCTTAAATGTTTCTTTTAACTTGTACAATTTTACGCTCGTTGGGTTTTGGTGCTACCATAGCTGTTTGGCTCGAGAGAGGGGTTTTTAGAAACGAAACGAAACGAAACAGAATCGAAATGAATGGAATCGAAATGTTTGTTTATGTATGAGCAGCTGTAGGTGTTTTTTTTGGGGGGGGGTTTCCACGTCTGATCGAGAGAGAAATAGAGATATCCCTCAGGAAAGAGAGTGAATAAATTATTAAGCCCACACATCATTGTTCTATAATTAATAATGGTTGTAGTTCTTGCTTAAATAAGGCTTTATCTGGTAATATATTTTATAAATTAAAACCCATCCATAGCCCGAGTTTTTATTCTACCACCCAACATTTTCACTTATCGCATCGTTTAAATCTAGGTGCCAATCGATAAATGCAGGCCAATTAAATGGCAAGCAATCACAATGTATGCAATCAGCCCAAGGCGTTAAAAATCTTTAATGATTGTGGGGCTTTGGCTTTCTCTTGTTCGGTTTTTGCATTTTCCCCTCCAAAATGCCAGAAAAAAAAGAAGAGAAAAAAAAACTGGGCTTTTGTTCGATTGTGTGTACGGCGGTGTGAATTCTAGGCCTCAATTTTGTGGTTTGCTGATTTCCATTACTGGATTTTCCTCTTGCGTGCGTTTCGCGTTTTTATTTTATTTTCATTGCTATTAAAATAATTTTCCATATCTGCTTTCAATTGCTGCGTGCCCGAAAAGAAAACTGCCTACTAACCATCATCATATTTTTAGTTGAATTTTTTGTGTGCGTGCTCTGGTGATAAACATGAATTTCGCCACAGACTTGACTATTTTTTCATTACTTTCTCCAACAGTAGCGACGACAGACACGCAGCAGCTGTTCTCTATATAGCTCTCTTTTTCTTACAACACGGAAAAAAACTATTGTGGTCCAAGAAAAATAAATAATAAAAAAAATGTATTATGTACGATTATATTCGGTCAGCTTTACAAGTGTTCTTATTTCATAAATAGGAGAGATTTAAAATTACTTTTAGATCTTAATCCGATTTCACTGAAATAACTTAAAAACATACAAGACTTTAGACAGCGTTGTTCTGCTTAGCCTCTGCCGGCACACGTACAGCGCACCGTGCGCTTCCCCGTTCAAAATACTGCAGATTTCAAATCCTTTAAAATATAATTAAAATAATAATAATTATTGTGATAGAAAATTTTCCTAAATTTACATCCCTTGAGATTATAACTTGTCAAGAACTCTGAAAGAACTAGAGTAAACTTAACCCACCGAATATTTTCATTCGATCCGAAAACTGACCTCCAATATTTCGGAGTGCACGATTTTATCTCGTTCATGCTTCTCTGGTTATTCGAGCGAGTCGCCCACGTTGGCACCTGTAAGCCCAGAACTCCCCGAACGCCCCGACTCGACTCTCTTTTGTCCAGAGGCTACCTTTCATTTAAACGGAAGTGCAAGCCAATGGCCAGAAGTGCTCAGTGCTCAGAATTCGATATGCTATATGTGTGCGACGGTTGGCTTTGGCTTTGGTTCCTACTATACAATATATGGTCACATGACTCCTCTCCTCCGGCGACTGATGTTTTTATATGGGAAAAAGAGAAAAACTCCAAACAAAAGCGGCAACTGCAACGGATGCGCCATATAAAGGCAGCATGCAACGCTTCCAGCTGAAAGCTCTTTTTCCCTATGTGATTCCTTTTAATTTTTTTTATATTTTTTGCACTTTTTGCTGATTAATGCAGCCGGCGTTGGCGTCACAATGTGTTTGCTTTATTTACGTTGTTTGGGTTGTTTTTTCATTTTCATTTTCATTTTTTATTTATTTATTTTTTGGAGGCGTCTCGTCCGCATAATGAATAATTTGGCTGAGATGCATTTTTGCACGTCGATGACGCTGGAAATAACAACAACAGACAGCCCACAACAACAAGCTCAAACATCGGCCAGCAACGTCAATCCAATCATAGACTTTGCCCAGACTCAACTGATTATATATGCACGAATGCACGAACATATATCTCGAAAAGTACACACAGTACACACATTGTTCCGAAGGGGGGTTACCTGTTTACACCCCAGATGATAAGCCACGCAGAGTGACTGAAGTAGAGGTGTGATGAACAATAGCACAAAGATCCAGCGCAGATGATAAATGATCCCAAGTCAAGGGTAAATCTCCCATTTCCGCTTTACTAAATCCCAAGAAATCGGATTAAAGGCGATGTAAAGCTTTCCCTTTACATTCGAACACCTCGATTTTCCATGAAATCAAATACCAAAGGGGGTAATTTTTAAAATATAAAGACAAACGGAACAATATTTTAGTAATATGCCATACATAATCTAAAAACGAGTTTCACAGAATATCCATTTGACTTCCAAACGCTTTAGAGTTGCAAATATTTTTTGTTACCCCAAGAAGAACTCCCATTCACGAGAATTTCTTGTTCTTATTTCCCTTTGGCAGATTATAGTTCCGTTCCGGAGAAGTCCAAGTCCAACTAGAACCAAGGTCCCACACAAAAATGGCAAGGAGGAGCCAAAGCTCATTAGGTTTACGGCTAATATATATTATAATGAGTATCGCTTTATAATAGGCACTTTGGTGTCTGCCCTCGTCGCGGGGACGTGGGAAACTTTCCATCTATTCATCTTTTGTCGCATAGCCATATAGCCATATAGACATAGAACACCACGATCGCCGGCAGCGACGCCAAAGTCAACGCCAAGCGCCAGCAGAGCGCAACTGGCGATCGCACTTGGTTATGGTTATGCAACCAAGCACTCGCAAAAATATGTCACCCTATTTCGAAATATGTTTCTACATGGGCTACGGGTTTTTTAAATTTCCTAATGATTTCATTGGCAGTAAAGTTCTATAGTTTAGAGCTTGATATTATAGCTCTTTTTCTTTTAACTAACTATGTTCAAATAATGATAAACATCAAAAAAAAAAAATAAAAAATTTCAGATTCAAGTTTGCATTTTTTCATATATTACAATTTTTTAAAATAAATAAAATCGTATGATATATAAATTAAAGCTTACAATACCATTAAAAAAACTCTTTATATATGCAAAACAATTTTTAACAATTTACATAATACTTCAAAATTAAAAAAAAAAAAATTTTTTTTAATAACTAAAGGTGCAGTCCTATAAGCACACTTCCAAAGTTGGTTTGGAAAAATTTATAGAAAGTACCAATTTTAAATTAAATTAAATATTAAGTTTTAAATGAATTTATTCCAGTTTTCGATAGCATTTTTTGCGAGTGCCGGGTTCGTGAATCCGCGCATCGTGGACAAAATGGTCTGGGGAGCTGGGGCTGTGTACGAGTATATTGGAATTGAATGAAAAAAGGGCCGTGGGCTCTGCACCGGTCCCCAGGTCATTTCCCTCTGCGGCAAAACAGTTGAGAGATCAACATCAACAACATCAGACACAACAGCAACTACAGTAACAACATCAACAGCACAAAAAAAGGCAAAAGATCTTAGATTTCTATTATGGCATTTCTTTCATCTTCTTTTTTTCGCATCTATGTTTGTAACCCGCTCGTCTTCATCAACATTTTTATTTTCCTTACATTTTTTTGTGTTATTTTTCATTTTACCCATTTTCCCGGCAAACGGCGAATTGAAGTCGCGGCGTAATTGACGTTAGTGATGAGATCAAAATGGACCACAATGATTGCGGCGATAATTGCGACACAGACGAACATACACATACAATATATATATCCAACAGATATTCTTTTTGAGCTACGCACCGAGGAATGATAAAATGCCAGGGAAAAGATGCAGCGATACCGAAGAGTTTGGATCTGCGAGTACGCAGAAAAAGGCAATGTATCTCAAACGCAACGACTTCTGAATGACCTTGCTGGAAAATTAAACACCGCTTAGAAAAGTAGAGAGGGCAAAGAAGATGGGTAAATACTATCCTCATAAAATGTAAACATATTCAATGGTATGATACCATATTGAATTGTACAGAAACCTTAAAGCTTTGTTTATTGATTATTGGTTGTCCCCAAAGAAAGATATAGAAATATAAACACGTCTTGAAGGTATTAAGGTACGAATATGGCTAAAATTAGGGGTTCC